CCCCGCGGCGCCTCCGGCGCCGTCCTCTACTACTACCAATCGGGAGGAAGACTCCGGCGGCCGCCCGACGTCCCCTTGGATGTCTTCTTGGAAGAGTTACGCTTCTACCAGTTGGGGGCCGAAGCCGAAGGAAGACTCCGCGAGGCCGAAGGTTTCGGGGTGGAGGCGCCGCAGCCTTTGCCCGGCGGAAGGTTACAGCGGCGAGCGTGGTTGTTGTGCGAGCACCCCGAGAGCTCGCCGGCCGCCCGCGCCGTGGCCTTGCTCTCCGTCCTCGTCATCCTCGTCTCCATCGTGGTTTTCTGCTTGGAGACCCTGCCCCAGTTTCGGGCTGGAGGGGAGGGGGCGGCTCAGGTGAGTGAGGTTGGGGGGGGGATTGGAGGGCCTTCGGTCTCGGTGGCCTTGGTCTTGGTGTCCTCAGCATCCTCAGCCTCCCCTCCCCCCTGTCTTCAGCCTCCCCGTCCTCAGCTGTATGCTCTTCCTCATCCTCACCATTGTCATTCCCACCATCTCCATCCTCACCATCCCCATCCTCATTCCCACCATCCTCATCGTCACCATCCTCATCGTCACCATCTTCATCCTTATGCTCCTCATCCTCACCATCCTCATGCTCATCTTCCCCATATTTCTCATTCTCACCATCTTCATCTTCATCCTTATGCTCCTCATCTCCACTATCTTCATCCTCACCATCCTCATCCTCACCATCTTCATCCTTATGCTCCTCATCCTCACCATCCTCATCCTCATCTTCCCCATATTCCTCATCCTCACCATCCTCATCCCCACCATCCTCATCCTCACCATCTTCATCTTCATCCTTATGCTCCTCATCTCCACTATCTTCATCCTCACCATCCTCATCCTCCCCATATTCCTCATCCTCACCATCCTCATCGTCACCATCCTCATCCTTACCATCTTCATCTTCATCCTTATGCTCCTCATCCCCACCATCCTCATCCTCACCATCCTCATCCTCACCATCCCCATCCTCACCATCCCCATCCTCATTCCCACCATCCTCATCGTCACCATCCTCACCATCTTCATCTTTATGCTCCTCATCCTCACCATCCCCATCCTCCCCATCTTCATCCCACCCATCCTCATCCTCCCTATCTTCATCCTCATCTTCACTGTTCTCATCCTCACCATCCCCATCCTCACTATCTTCATCTTCATCCTTATGCTCCTCATCATCCCCATCCTCATCCTCATCCCCCATCCTCATCCTCATCCTCCCCATCCTCATCCTCCCCATCATCACCTTTCCCATTCTCACCATCTTCATCCTCATCATCCTCATCCACATTATCCTCATCTTCACCTTCACCGTCCTCATCCTCCTCATCTTCATTCTCATTCTCACCATCCTCATCTCCACCATCCTCATCCTCCCCATCCTTATCCTTACTCTCTTTACATCCTCATCCTCGCCATCCTCAGTATCTTCAACCTCACCACCTTCATCCTCAGCCTCATTCTTGTGATCCTCAAGCTCATCATCCTCATTCTCACCATCCTCGTTCTCAACCTTATGATCCCCATCTTCATCCTGCTCATCTTCATCGTTCTCCTCACCATCCTCAACCTCCCCGTCCTCATTCTCATCTTCACCACCTTCATCATAGTCATCCTCAACAGTCTCATTCTCATCTTCATCATCATCACCATCCGCATCCTCATCCCCACCATCATCCTCCTCCTCCTCACCATCCTCATCATTCTCACCATCTTCAGCCTCATTCTCATCATCCTCCTCATCACCACCTTCATCATTCTTCACCATCCTTCTCCTCCTCTACACCATCTTCATCCTCTTGTTCGTTCCCCAGACTTTTTCCTTGTCATAATTTTCTTCATCTTCCTCCTCGTGACCATGATCCTCTTCCTCTTCCTCTTTCTTTTCCTCATCTTCATTCATTTTGTCAACCTCACCACCATCTTCCTTCTCATCTTCCTCCTCCTCCTCTTCCTCCCGCCTGGAGACCCTGCGCCAGTTCCAGCCCTCCCTGCAAATGCGTCACCCCCAGATCTTCCTCACCATCATCTTTAGCATCCTCTTCATCTTCGGCTTCATCCTCCTCATCATCACCCTTTGCCACCTCAACCTCCTCCTTCTTCTTCTCTCCCTCGACCTCATCCTCTTCATCATCACTCCCTCATCGCCATCATCTTCATCGCCCTTTTCATCCTCTCCTCCGCTTCTCTTCATCTCCTTTTTATCATCATCGTCATCATCACCATCATCGTCATCATCATTCCATTCTTCTTCATCCATCCATTTCTCCTCTTCTTCCTCACCTCAGCCCTTTTCTTCCTCCTCCTCCTTCTCCTCCTCTTCCTCCTCCTCGTTTTCTTACTCCATCTTCATCACTTTTCCTTCTCCTGCTGTTCCTTGTGGCCATCCTCTTCTTCCTCCTCCTCATTCTTTTCCCATGGTTTCCCATTCCCATCATCCTCCTTCTCTTCCTCTTCCTCCTCCAAGACCATCACCTTTGGCCCCCTATGGCCGCTGCCTCCTCCTCCTCTTTTTCCTCCTCAACCTCCTCCTCAACCTCCTTCTCCTCCTCTTCCTTCTCCGTCTCTTCCTCCTCTTCCTCCTCCTCCTCCTTTTCCTCTTCCTCCTCCTTTTCCTCTTCCTCTTCCTTCTCCTCCTCAGTCCCAACCACAGGACCCAGGGGTCTGGGGGGGCTCTACCCCCCCTCCTCCACCCCAGGGTGGGCACGCAATGCTCTGGGTGGGCTCTACCGCCCCATGACCCATGGCAGGTGGTGGTTCTAGGGGTCTGGGTGGGCTCTACCGCCCCATGACCCATGGCAGGTGGTGGTTCTAGGGGTCTGGGTGGGCTCTACCGCCCCATGACCCATGGCAGGTGGTGGTTCTAGGGGTCTGGGTGGGCTCTACCGCCCCATGACCCATGGCAGGTGGTGGTTCTAGGGGTCTGGGTGGGCTCTACCGCCCCATGACCCATGGCAGGTGGTGGTTCTAGGGGTCTGGGTGGGCTCTACCGCCCCATGACCCATGGCAGGTGGTGGTTCTAGGGGTCTGGGTGGGCTCTACCGCCCCATGACCCATGGCAGGTGGTGGTTCTAGGGGTCTGGGTGGGCTCTACCGCCCCATGACCCATGGCAGGTGGTGGTTCTAGGGGTCTGGGTGGGCTCTACCGCCCCATGACCCATGGCAGGTGGTGGTTCTAGGGGTCTGGGTGGGCTCTACCGCCCCATGACCCATGGCAGGTGGTGGTTCTAGGGGTCTGGGTGGGCTCTACCGCCCCATGACCCATGGCAGGTGGTGGTTCTAGGGGTCTGGGTGGGCTCTACCGCCCCATGACCCATGGCAGGTGGTGGTTCTAGGGGTCTGGGTGGGCTCTACCGCCCCATGACCCATGGCAGGTGGTGGTTCTAGGGGTCTGGGTGGGCTCTACCGCCCCATGACCCATGGCAGGTGGTGGTTCTAGGGGTCTGGGTGGGCTCTACCGCCCCATGACCCATGGCAGGTGGTGGTTCTAGGGGTCTGGGTGGGCTCTACCGCCCCATGACCCATGGCAGGTGGTGGTTCTAGGGGTCTGGGTGGGCTCTACCGCCCCATGACCCATGGCAGGTGGTGGTTCTAGGGGTCTGGGTGGGCTCTACCGCCCCATGACCCATGGCAGGTGGTGGTTCTAGGGGTCTGGGTGGGCTCTACCGCCCCATGACCCATGGCAGGTGGTGGTTCTAGGGGTCTGGGTGGGCTCTACCGCCCCATGACCCATGGCAGGTGGTGGTTCTAGGGGTCTGGGTGGGCTCTACCGCCCCATGACCCATGGCAGGTGGTGGTTCTAGGGGTCTGGGTGGGCTCTGCCCCCCCATGACCCATGGTAGGTGGTGGTTCTAGGGGACTGGGTGGGCTCTAACCCCCCTCCATCACCCCAAGAAGGGGACCCAGGGGTCTGGGTGGGCTCTACCCCCCATAACCCATGATGGGTGGTGGACCCAGGGGTCTGGGTGGCCTCTCCCTCCATGACCATGGCTCTAGGGGTCTGGGTGGGCTCCGACCCCCCTCCCCCACCCCCTGGTGTCCATCCCACCCATCCCCCTAACCCATCCCCCCCCTTTCCCTATCTCCATCCCCCAGAGCCCACCACCACCCATCTCCACCGCCGTCAACGCCTCCTCCCCGCCGTCCTCCCGGGCCGGTTTGACCGATCCTTTCTTTGTGGTGGAAACCATCTGCATCTGCTGGTTCTCCTTGGAGCTCCTGGTCCGGCTTTTGGCCAGCCCGAGCAAATCCGCCTTCTTCCGCAACGCCATGAACCTCATCGACTTGATCGCCATCGTCCCTTACTTCGTCGCTTTGGGGACCGAGCTGGCCCGTCAACGCGGCGTCGCCCAACCCGCCATGTCCTTGGCCATCCTTCGCGTCATCCGCTTGGTGCGGGTTTTCCGGGTCTTCAAATTATCCCGGCATTCCACGGGTTTACAGATTTTAGGCCAAACTCTTCGCGCCAGCATGAGGGAGTTGGGTTTGCTCATCTTCTTCCTCCTCATCGGCGTCGTCCTCTTCTCCAGCGCCGTCTACTTCGCCGAGGCCGAAGACGCCGCCACGTCCTTCACCTCCATCCCTCAGGCGTTTTGGTGGGCCGTGGTCACCATGACGACGGTGGGCTACGGTGACATGGCGCCCGTCACCGTCGGGGGGAAGCTGGTGGGGTCCCTCTGCGCCATCGCCGGGGTCCTCACCATCTCCTTGCCCGTCCCCGTCATCGTCTCCA